GACGCACGTTGGCTTGTTCAGGGCGTCCCTGCCCATGGCAGGGCTGGGTCAGATGGTCTCTGAGCTCCCTTCCAACCTGAGATGCTCCAGGATTCTGTGACTCTATCTATGGTACTGGAAGCATTTCCAAAAAGAACACTTCATGAAGATCAGCTCTATCTGTCCTGGCACGCAGGTCACTGCGTAGTTTTGCTGCCATTGGAGACTCACGGGTCTGGCTCCAGGGCACAACCACGCTTCCCACCGCCACGCCCGCACCTTCAGGGCCCCGGAGCCTCTTCCCACCACCGGCCACCTTCGTCTGTGCCTTCTCATCAGCCAACCCGGCCCCAAGCTGCCGAAACCACGGGCTGCCTTCAAAAGCCGACGAAAAAGGGCACATGCACACGCGTAAACTCTCTCATACCGAGCATCTCTCTTCATTCTGCTTTGTGTTAAGGACTTGGCTTCCTGGAAATATTTGTTTGTCCCCTCCTTCCCTTATTCTTCATCTGTCCGCTTACAGTAGGAAAAGGCTTCCACTCAGCACATGGGATCAGAGACATCAACCATCTCCTGAGAGCAGCCACAGGAGCCTCAGAAAGAGCAGGGGAGTATTCTGCGGTGACAGGGACATTTACCTCACTCAAACCCAGCGGATCGACTCTCTCACCTACGTAACCATCCCGAACAACCCAATCTTCTGTGGATTCAGGCAACAGCAGCAACGGTCAACGCTGATCCGCTGATCCATTCCCAGGGCAACAAACTTGCCTGGTTTTATTCACTTATTTCTACCCAGAGCAGACTTTTATTTTTAGATAACCTTCACACAGAAAAACAAACCTCCCCTATCCGAAATGTAAATAATGTGAAGTATACATTTAGTTAAAAATGTACAACCACAACTTGCTGCAAGAACCAAACACACCTGAAGAGTTCACCATCGTCACAAATGGGCTCTTCACAGGGTCTGGCCGCTCCCTAACAATACGATGGCTGGAATCAGCAGGTTTTGGGTATGCAACACATTGAAAATAGTACATCTTTTATTCAGTGGACAGCTCACTTTCTTTAGTGGGCTTGACCACTGAAAACCCATCAAGCTCAGAAATTTATAACTCTGAGCAGAATGCTCACTGCTTGCAATTTGGGTAGAAACACACTAACGGTGGTTTTGGGATGTTTGATTATTTTGCCTGCAAAGTTCTGAATGAAGAGCGAGAGGTTATTATAATTTTTTTTACATAAACTCCATGTTAAACCATTAAAAACAAAGGAAACAAGCTTGCAAAAAAATCACTACAAACAACAAAACGCTGTGAAAGATTTCCCAGCGCTGGCCAGCCCTTCTCCCAAGAGAAAAGCTCCCAGGCGTCTCACACCAGGGCATTTCCAACGTCTCTCTCAGTTTTGTTCGCACAGGACAGAAGCCAGATACCTACTTGAAGCGGACCTTCTCGTCCATATCCACGGGGGGCTCATGGGTGATGAGGTTGACCAGCTCCTCCATGCAGGGCTGCTGGCAGAGGAAGTCCAGCAGCTTGCGGTTCTGAGCCTTGCACTCCTGCAGGATGTCATCTTCGTCCATCAGCTCGTGCAGCGTCACATCTTCTTTATCCAGCAGCTTGTCCACATGCGATGTCGTGTTCAAATCGAACTTCCAGAACATGTTGATGGGACACAACTAGCTAGAAGGCAAAAGAACACAAGTTAATTTTCCGTCGCCGCTGTTCATCCCTCCTGTCTAACTCTGAGCAGAACACCTGAAGAGAGCTGCCGGCCAGCCCGTAACAACCACAGTTCCGAAACAACATCAGCAACTTCTTGCACCAGAAACACTACGTGACTTACGTTCTAGCGGCGTGATATCACAAATGGACACAGCACATGCCTAAATTTACTGTAACGGCAAGTAGCTTGAACTAAAATCAAAGCTTATGTTCAGACACAGAAATGCTTTGCTGGGTTGGAGCCGAGGCTGGTCACAGGCAGGGAAGCGGCATTGCTGCCCTGTAAATAATTCGCATTAAAGGGTTTGGGGTGGGTTTTTTTGTATTATTTGTGTCAGAGTCACGCTCATCACTCGTAACTGCAACAACCAATGACCTATTCAAGTGGAAGAAATGTCTCCATTGCACACGTAACAGCGAGAGATAAACAGAGATAGACCACAACTGGAAAGTATTACAAAACCAACCAAACAAAAACCCAACCCAAACCACCACACACAGCCTACTGGACACCGTGAGCAGTAACCACATTGGTTGCCCTCCCCACCATCACCTTCCCTCCCAAGGAGTTTCTCGAGGACATTTTACACCATCCCAACCAAATACAAATATTTTGAGGCAGTTCCTTGCGAAACCCGGGATGCTGCACGTAACAAAGACTGACAAGAAGCACCTCGAGCTGGAGCCCGGTCCCACAAACACTCAGTGGGTCACCAGACCTGCCCCAGGGGCACGTTTTGTCCCTCACCAGGTGCCCCGGCCCCGCTCGCAGCGGTTCTGACCCTCCCCTCCAGCATCCCCTCTCCGTACCACAGAACCACAGAACCCGCTGCGCTTGGCACGAACCTCCTGTGTGGGACCACAACCACACGCTGTGCTTCAGGGGAGGCTTCGCTGCTGCCACGTAGATTGCTAAGAATATTCCCCTCCAATTTTTCGCTGATTATAGAGCACCGCACTTTGTATTACTCATTTGCAGCCCACTCCTACCCCTAACGCTTTCTTGCCTTTTTGTTACCCTGATTTTTCTCTATGCGAGATCCATTAATTACGTTTCCCCAACACACTTCCACTTTCAGAGAAGTTATTAATTATATCAAAACCAGGCAGTGTTCAGACTACCCTTAAGAAACTCTTCCAGTGGTCTTCCCCTTGCTCCATATTTTCTCTAAGCATTCTACCCCCTTTAGCGTCTCATCTCGGGGTCAGCTAATTCAATTCCTCAACAAGCCGTACCCTGGCTATTGGACCGAGCATCTTAGGGATCTTCACAAAGAAACGATTTACTGCATTTCTTCTGGAGAACCAGTTCCCAAAGAAAGAGCTCAGATGGGCTCGGCACAACTTAAATGATGGATTTTTGTACCATGTTCACATTGCGGTATCTTTTATTGTTCGCTCCCGGGAGCAACTAAGGACTTGTCTTTGTCTTTCCTCAGTAATGCTTTCGGTGTCTTCAGAGAGCGAAAGATAGCTCCAACTCCTCACCAGCAGACACCCAGACTTCAAAAAGCAGCGAAGTCATGTACCCACCCGAGAACCCGAGCAGAGCCTTTCATTTCTGGCTCCCGTTCAGCGTTTCAGACCAAACTCTTCCCCAGACGCTGTCTCCTCCTCCCTCAAACCCAGCGGCTCCGCTACGCGTCCAGAAGTCTGAAGAAAGGGAAGGACCCGCTCCGACTCCCGGGTGGGTAAAAGCTGTGCAGAAGCCGACGTGCAAAGAGGGAGCACGGGGAGAGGGCTCCGGGCATCAGAGGTTATTTCACGAGACAAATGCTCGTTAGCGCTAAAGAAAATAAGAAAGTAAGTGCCAACCCCTGCTGACAGAGGGGACAGGCATACTCCAACATGACCATTCTGCGTAATAACGCTGTTACGCTAAGACACCTGGTGGGGAATGAAGTCAATTGGATGCGAGATGTCAATGTGCTCCACTCCCAGACTCTGCGTACAAGCGTGTGATTTTCTACAACAGGATCACAAGGCTTTTTTTAACCTAACCCACATCACTGCTTCCGCAGCAGCGGCAGGAACACTCGCTCCAACCAGTCATTTCGCTTCTGCCAGCATCCAAAAATGTTACCACGCCTGAACTTTTGCCAGTGCCACTGCTTGCATAACTACAGCTAAGACAGAGTTTTGGAATTAGCCTTGTAACAAGGAGAAAACGGCAATTTTTCCCTCTGGGAAGGTTTACTGAAGAAGGGGGCACTGTCTTTCAGTTCCCACAGCTGGGCTATTAAATAGGCTGTGTAAAAACCCACATTTTTTATGCCGTGTTTAAATACCTGGCTCCCACACAGTGTCTCTCTCACACAGAATCTCCAACTAAAGGGCTTACAGGAACTGCTAAATGAAACACATTAAAAGAAACACTAATTTTCCATTTATTTTTACAAGTTAAGTTTTCTGCCCTACCTCAGCTGGAGGATTCTTCATGTGTGCAGGAGATATGTGTCTCAGGATCTCCAGAAGAAAAAGGTTTACAAGATCAAGGCTATACTTTCAACTGGAACAGCTCCGTTACCCTGGATATTTGATACCAAACTCCAGGAAGCTCCATTCAGCGGCTCAAAGTTTGTCACGGACAACTCCTCCGTTTCAGAGAGCTTTTTTCCGTGCTGACATAGCTCCTTCTTTTAATGTCTTTATGGCAGAGATTTAGAAGAAACCAAGAAAATCTTTGCGAGTTTCTCTTCTGCCCCACAGCACTGCCGACACGACCAAGCCCTACCCGGAGCATCTCGCCGCTGGGCCGGCCTTGGGGCACAGGCTGGACTCCATGATCTCAAGGTCTTTTCCAGCCTCAATAATTCCGTGTTGAGTCCTGAGGCAACGTTTAAGCCATGAACTACCACAGCCCCCAAAGTCCAGCCTGCTCGGAGCCTCGCCTCCCCGCAACCCTCCTGCCCTCCTCGCTGCCCTCGGACTTTGGGCATTGTGAGGCAGAGCTCACAGACACCCTGCGGGGAAGCACACGGCCCCGACAAAACAGAACCGAGATCTAGAAAACCACCTCAAACTTACACCAAGTTCCTTTAAACAGCAACGGGTCAATCTCTTCGGGTCAAACCTACAGCAGCGGGTTTCCCGCAAAGCTGCCCGTGGGCCTCCAGGCTCTGAGCAGCCGAGCTCGGGGACCGAGGGGAAGGTGCTCCAAAAACAAAAGCTCCCCTAGACCTGCCCACAGCCCATCCGCCGCCATTTCCAAACCATCTTCCAAACCGCCAGATTAACCAGTTTAGGTTGAGCCCAACCTTTTGGGAACGCGCTTCCCACCCACACCACCCCCAAGAGCATAAAAGGGGGCAGAGAGAGAAGCAGCCTCTAATTCGAGCTGTTTGCACCAAGGGTACACTGAAACGACTCAGAAAGGTCAGCAACAAGCAAGAGCTTCTCCATCCGTCCATTCAGGCACTGCAAATGCACTCAAGTAACTGAATTCCTGAGTTGGAAGAGACATCTGAATTTTCAACCTACGTGGCACCGCGGTGACAGTAATGCTGTTTGGCTGTATAGTCTGTTCCTTACAAACTGTTCTTCAGATATTTTTAACTAACTACCCTTAGTTATAAATTCACCGAGCGAAAAGCCGGCATAAAAGGCCTTATATTAAAAATGTTTGGGTGCACAGTTAACCCAAATACATATATATTCCATACACATATGTGGAATACACACGTAAATCCCACTTTTCAAATTTAAACCCGTTATAAATCTGTCAATTCGACCGTTTCTCAAAACTTTTTGTACATCTGCAGGAAAACCTGTCTAATCTACCGGAGATAAGCTGTCCTGAGGAGCGGAAGACAGCTCTGCTCTCAGCACAGAGCTGGCAGATTCCCTTTCCAACCTTCTTAAAATAAAGGCTGAGAAGAAAAGCTGCGGAGTTTGGCCTCTCCCAGTCCTCGCCAGTAGAGCTGGGCTTCTGGAAGACACTGGTGCGATTCCCAGTGCCCCGGGACTGGGCGCAGCCGCATCCAACTGGGAAGGTAGCCTGCCCGGCAGCACTGACTCTCCCCTCAGGTTGTCACAGATTCACAGAATGTTGGGGTTGGAAGGGATCTGGAAGGGTCACCTGGTCCAACCCCTGCCAGAGCAGGGTCACCCAGAGCAGGTCCCACAGGAACGCGTCCAGGCAGGTTGGAAAGTCTCCGGAGCAGGAGACTCCACACCCTCTCTGGGCAGCCTGGGCCAGGGAAAAAGTTCTTCCTGGTGTTTGTGGGGAAGCTCCTGTGCTCCAGCTTGCACCCGCTGCCCCTTGTCCTGTCCCTGGCCAGCCCTGAGCAGAGCCTGGCTCCGTCCTCCTGACACTCGCCCTTTCCCTGGTTCTACCCAGGAGTGAGGTCACCCCTCAGGCTCCTCTTCTCCAGCTGCAGAGCCCCAGCTCCCTCAGCCTTTCCTCCCCAGGGAGATGTTCCATTCTGTCACCCCTGTGGCTCTAATTAGTGAATCATTCCAGAAGAGGACAGTTACTTGTCTAGATTATCACATTTTTTTTTATTATGTTATAGATACACTAGTTTGCTTCTAGATATAACTCAAAATGGAGCATTCATAGGGTTCTGACATTCACAGCATCATTTGGGTTGGAAGGGACCTTAAAGGTCACCCAGTCCAGCCCCTGCAGGGAGCAGGGACATCTCTACCCAGATCAGGTTGCTCAGAGCCCCGTCCAGCCCGACCTTGGATGTCTCCAGGGATGGAGCCTCCACCACCTCTCCAGGCAACCTGTGCCAGGGTCTCACCACTCTCACAGTAAAGAACTTCTTTCCAACATCTAATCGAAATCTCCCCTGCTCCAGTTTAAAACCGTTGCCCCTCATCCAGTTGCTACACTCCCTTGTAAACAGTCCCCCCCAGCTTTCTTGCAGGTGTAACTTTCAACATGTAGAGCATTTTTCTGTGCCCCTGTCCAGTAATTCAAGATATTTCCATGCCCTTCAGCCAGTTACGTT